TGTCGAAACAGTTCACATTCATATGAACTTAAATGGAGACATATGCGAATTTGCCTGAATGAGAACGCTGCACATGCAGCTATGTGTGTACTATTCCACGCGTAATGGTGTTTGAAGTGAGCATCGTGGAAATTAGTTGAAAAAGCAGTTTCCTTCTGTCTTTTTAATATCGTGATGAATGTTTTTTCTTTTCTTTCTTAATTGCTTAGTAAAAGTTGTGACTTGAGGAAATAAATAAATCAACAGTATTAAAACTGTATAATCGTCTTTCAGTTACACGAACATCCCAGATTTTAATCCGAGTTAGCCAGTCGATAGAACTCGCTGAACTGAGTATAGAAACACCTAATGAATACCCAAAAAAGATATTTATAGCTGTATGCGCTTTTTAAGCATACATTTTCCATGAACATCAAAAATAAAGCGCAAGAGTACTCAGAACAGTATGCCAAATTCATCTCTAGGTTATTTTTATTGGTACTATTTTCAACCAGAAAAAAATATTTTAAGGATTTTTGGAAAAAATGCATCCTTTCAGATATCACATAACTACAATTAATCAACTCTTTGCACTCCACAATAAAGATATATAGACATATTATATATCATAAGAAAGTTCATGGAATTCTCTACAAAAATACTATTTAGGAACTATTTAAACGTTCTTCGTTAAATTTTTAATTGCGATTGATCCCAATAACAGACTATTTGACATTTAAAATGAATAAAGCTTCTTTTAAAGGGAAAGACATTTTTTTAAAAACTATGTTAGCATACTCTAAAACGATTTCTGAACGTAGTAGTACTAGTTAGAATTATCTATCGCAGAGATGGGTAAGTCTAAGTAGGCTTTTTCACACAGACTGGGACTGAGGGCAAAAGAGACTTGGACTTTTCTTCGACTGATTTTTTTCACATTGTGACTAGACTTTCCAATTTAAATTTGTAAAAAGATGAAAAGAATAAAGAAATTGAATTTACTCTCTCGCGCAATATTGGACAATGATACTGCTGAGGAGATTTTGCGTTATTTGAAAGAAGAAGATACAGACAATAGTTTAATTTTTAACAATTCTTCTCTGTATCCAATGTTGAGCACACTAGCAACAAAGATACTATGTGTACGTCAGCTTCGGCTGAAAGGGTGTTCTCTCAATCTGATTTTCCTGTACGACCCATCAGTCAAGAATGACGAGAAAAATCCTCTCATATCTTACTTTACGCAAATATAACTTTTCTCTTATAAATTAAGCGGAAAATTTCGGAAATGCGGTCAACCGACTTAAGTTTCATCGACAGTTGGCGCCAAAAGTCGGTCTGACTACCTTGAATTAGATAGTTTGACAAAGTTATATTTCCTTTTTCCAGTAACGAAAGCCGCAGGTTTCCAGCTGCTTCTGTTCCACAGTTATTCAAGTTACAACCGCTCTAGACACCGATTCTTACATAAGAAACCAGGAAGAATATTATAGGAAATTGGTAAGATTCTTATAAGAATCTTATCAGTTTCTTACATAAGACTACCTTGGATTCTTAGGATCTTGACAAAATCCTACACAATCCGAATTAGATCAGGTATATCCGAAAGTCATAGGATTTTTTAAGATTCTGTTAGGATCCTAAACAAACTTAAGCGAAATCCTAGTAGGATCCTGTAATATCCTAGTAGGAAATAAACAATAACTGCGTAGGATTTTGTCTAGGATTAGGTGCAGTATATCATCAGTTCACAGCAGCACCTGCAGCATCGCGCCTACAGATCTATAAAACATGTGTTCTGAGTAAGCTCGATTACCGATGCCCGTTATATGATACTAGTGTCAATAATTACGTGCGGTCGCGGTTCATTCGCCATTGTCGCGTCGCGATCGCGATTTACTCGCTATTGGTGCGTCGCGATCACGCAGAAATCACGGTGTCCTAATGCGACCATATTCGAGTCGCGGCAAGGGTGTGAAGAACAAACAATAATTGAGTATAGCGACTATAATAAGGCCTTGCCGCGACTCGAATACGATCGCATTATGACACCGTGATTTCTGCATGATCACGACGCGACTACAGCAAATCAGAAGAATCAATCAATGATCGCGACTTCATAGCGATCGCGTAGCGCGTTCGTGACGTGAATTCATCGTGACAGTCGACCTGGGTGTTCTTTCGAACAGTGAAAACCGCAAGTCTCTAAATATCATCGTTTGAAAGTTATTCAATAATATCCACAGATAACTGCTTTTGAAATGGGTACTGGAAGAATTATGTGCTTATAAACATCTACTTCAAATTAACTGCTGTTACATTATCTATTATACTGATATTCCCATTGCATGCTGCTTTTATAGCTCACTTTCACGGCTGTGGTGTTCTGTGGCTGTTTCTAATAAATTACATGTTTTGAATCGTAAAATGACTATGAAAAATCCATATTTTCCCAAGAACTTTCCAAGGCAGATTTTAAATCTGTTTAGAGAAAAAATATCTGTAGCAGATGTCAACAAATCCATGTTCTATCGAGTCATTTTAAGTTTGCTTTGTCGAATCTAAAATTTACTTAGGCAAACTTAGAATTTCACTTTTGTTTGTAACATATATAAATAAGCATATAACGTACATGGTCTCGTACATGTCCATCAGATCAGCCATAGTCTGTAACTTATAGAAAAGCATCAACAAACTAATTGGGGTTTAATATTTCCCGGGTAAAACGCATTTACAGAATGAGACTTTAGTTTGCATTTTCTCAAAACTAGTGTTTAGCTTTCGCCACGTAAAGGGATTTCCAGGAACTATACATCAAAGAAAGGTAATTTTTCTGATTTGTAGATAACATCTATAGCTAGGAGTTGATTCTTGCTCGAATGAAAGGTCCCATTCTGACTCTTGTTGAGGCGACAGTCGCTAGTTAAAGTAGACGAAGCCTTACCCTAGACGAGCGAACTTACGGCAATTTTATACGGATCTTACTGGAATCTTATAAGAACCTTATATAAGGCAGTCGATGGAAATGCGTAAGATCTTGATAAGATTGCTATACGAACGAATATAAGAATCCGCTGGAAAATGACGAAAAGTGCACATTTTCGCTGATAAAGTAAAGTGTCAATAACTGTTTTTTTCGAGTCATTTGGAGACTTGCGGTTTTCTCCATTCGATTCAGCTCGTCAGACTCTACAAAATAAGGTAAGCCTCGTCGCTGGCACCGAATGTCGATGTAATGATGGTACCCAGGTGATTGAATCATACTATTCGATCGTATAAGATCGTAAACGGATAGCACGAAATCGCATACGGTTATGTACGATTTACATACGAATCGTGGTATCTGATTTGTCATCTGGTTCGTCGTTAATTGTAGAAACGCTAATTTTCATCCGCTGCTTACACTATTACACTTAAACAAAAAAATACCATAAGATTGCAGTTATGGAAAATAGATCTAGCATCCCATATAGTACTAAATGTTATTTCGTTTTTTTCTGCTCAAATACAATTAGTTTTCAATGTGTTATATACAGAAATGTTACATATTATGTTAATGGTACATAATAAGTGTGATTAACTGTGAAATGGAACGACAAAACATAGTAAATACGATTTCCACTAGGCTTCGAGCCGAGAAAATATTTAAGTGACAAAATTTCTCCTGCGAAGTAATTCTAAGGTTTCGAAGATGCCCAGTTCAACTCACCTTGTACCTATCCTATGAATAAAACTGAGTTTGGCTGCATTTTTGACTACGTGCTAGAAGCTTTTTACAAAGATTTATACTCATTTTATACAGAATTCTCAGCTCTACAACATGGAGAAATGTATTTTTTACGACCACGTAAATAAAATCTTTCTGAGCACTTTCTGTAGAAAATCATGCTTTTTAAACCGTGGGTTTTAGGGGCAGTGAGATAAAATCTTTTGCATTTTTGATTACATGATGGTTTTGAGTTATAGTCAAAATACTGAAAAATTGTAAGAGATATATGCGTCTTTGAAAACTTTTTGGGTTCCTTCGAAAAAAATATCATAACTCTGCAGTAAAAAGACGCCGAAAGCTACAAATTTGGAATTACACGTTATTTTGTATCGGAAATCGAATGAGGATGCTTTGAACGGGAAAAACATTTTGACTTGTTAGAACTTTTCTTACTGGCCTCATGGGGTCTCTTTTAAGGATATTACGAATCGATCACTATATGTACTTTTGAAATTGTTGTACATGTTAGAGTACTTGAGACAAAACTCACATTTCACATGGACACCTCATCCCAATTTCATTTCTTGTCCATCTGATTCGTGTGTAATATAATAAATTCATAAAAACGAAACGCCAGCAAGAAACCAAGTTAATATAAAGTGTGCATGTGAATATGGCTTAAACTGGGAAAAGATAGCTTAATTGCTCAACAGACTAGTTGATTTTGATTATCCATTTAATGGTTTGCTGCAGAATTGTTCAGATTACTAATAGTAATCTAAACAATTCGTTTTGTATAACAGATACTTCTTCTGAAATACGATTGGTTGGATGGTACCATAATGCCTAACAAAAGCCTCTCCAAAGTATCTTATTCTGTTTCATTGATTCTGCTACCTCTGCTACCGTGATTTGCTGAATTTGTTCGTGTTATACATAGGGAAAGAGATACATATTTCTAGAATTAAAAAACGCTGTACGGAAACGCTTTACAGATATCAAAGGGAATCTATGTGTAACGTCCGAAAAAAAACCTGGGGCCTGGGGCCTGTTTCTTAAAAAAACTTAAGTAGAAAATCTTACTTAAGTCAAAAAAGACAAAGACTTTTTTGGACTTAAGTCTGACTTAAGTCAGATTTTCTACTTAAGTTTTTTTAAGAAACAGGCCCCTGCTTCAGTCTGACCACTTTGCGGCGCTATCCCTGTTCAACATACTTAGCGCTTTCCGGTGTCTTTTTTTCAATTAATAAAAGTGATTTCTGATTAAACTGTTGTTGTAATCGCCTTCTTAACTCTAGATCATAAGACAGAAATGTTTTTACGTTATCATGTGTTTAAACGTCTAGGACAAAATCTTTTCGGTAATACTCAATATGTTCGTCAACAATTAACAACTTCTTCAGCAGCAAAGTACGGATTTGTTGTTTAGTTGTGTTTAAGCTGAAATCAGGATTGCTTGTCTAAATTCTAGAGTCGCGCAGTCGGATAAAGCTGATGCCGAAGACATCTTTCTGACTTTGACCACCGATTATAATCGAACTCGTCTCGTACAATCAGATTTATTATCAGAAGCAATAAAAAATATCAATAGTTCGATGTCAGAAAGATTGAGTCTGTTATTATTAAATGCAGCCGCTCGATCTGTACACAATGTATCATCACAAAAAAGAATTAAATTATTGGAAGAAGTAGGTCTGGTATCATAAATAGATACGAAAAACTACTTCTTTCGAACATTAATTTCTAGGCATGGTCAGCTCTCAAAAAAAACAATGTTCGGTTGACAAGCAGACATTATGAGACTTATCTAAGTGGATTAAATGAAAATGGTCACATATTTGATCCTGACTATTATCTAAAGTTAATTGATTCTCAACAAATACAAGCAACACCGAGAATATACAGTTTATTATTGACACAGTGAGTAATCTGCGTAACGAAGCAAATCGATCTATCTCGTTTTTCATATCCATATTAAGCGTTATGTGTTTAGATTCTGTCGAGAGGGTAATACGGATCGTGCACAAAATTTTCTAAAAATGTTGAAGGAGAAAAATATCAGCGTGGATGAAGATATTTTTGCTGCACTTTGCGTATGTCAATTGAAACGTGGCAATGATAATGGTGCTCAAGAAATAATTCAGATAATGAATGAACGTGGTTTGAAATCAACAATTTCTACTTATAAAGAAATATTTATTTGTTTAATTAGTGAACATAGATTAGAACAATTTCAATCTTATTACCAACAAATTGAAGATCAACATGAACGACAGTCTCAATCTATTGCCAATGACGAAAATAAAGAATTACAACAAACAAATAAACATGGATCATCATCATCAGTTTATTTAGATGCAAAATTTGTTTTATCTTTACTTAATCAATGTATATTGTATAAAGAACGTCCAATATTCGATTATTTATTTGAAAAGTTAAAACGTATGAATCATGCAAATATTCCACACAATATTCTAAATTTATCAATACAATGTTTATCAAATAATTGGCATAAATCGGCCATTGAATTACTACAGTTACAATCTGATGTAGAAGCACCACAAGATGATTTACCTTATATGCCAATTAATGATAGGATATGGGTTCTTTTTTTCAAGTAAGACGAATCATGATATTCTGTACAGGGTATATTATGGACAAAACTAGAATTCAGAAAGAAGTGGAATTAAGTTTTCTTTGACAACTCAGAATCGAAATGTCTGCATAGGTCGATTCTAGGATTGACTAGGCAAATTTAAGATTCGACAAAGGAAACTTGAAATTATTTGGTAAAACATAGATTTGTTGATATTTTTTACAAGCATTTCTCGGATTCAGGCAGATTTTAAATTTTGGCAAACTCTTGGTGAAATATGGATTTTTCGTAGCCATTCTGGGATTCAAAACCATGAGGTATATTAGCAATATCTAGAGCTGTAAAAGTGAGCTACAAAAGCAGTCTACAGTTGAAATATCAGTTGTGGGAAGAAACATATTTTATAGAAATTCACATCGAAGTTTGCTTTTGCAGTCTACTCTCATGACTGTGGTGGACGCCAGATATTGTTTCACGTGTCTAGATGGTTGATGAAGTCAAAAGAGGTGTTAAAATCGATTTTTTTATAGTAAATTCATGTTGAAATCTGTCGGAATTCAAGAAATGTTTGCAAAAAATATCAATAAATCATTGTTTTATTGGATTATTTTAAGTTAGTCTGGCTCTATTTCAAGTCTGTCTAATCAATCTTAGACAAACTTGAAATCGACCTACGGAGACGTTTCAAATTTTTTGGCAAATTCGAAGTTTTGATCATTGAAGAAGAAGATTTTGTAAATTGGAAAGAAATTACTGAAAATTGAAAAAATTGGATTAATAAATGTAACAGACAGGTCACTAGGTAATGTTTTCATCTTTTTTTTCTATTTTAGACGAGTATTTGAAACTCATGAACCAAAAATGATCGATCTGTATATGAAATTAATGATGCAAAAAAGTCTGAAACCATTAGATACTATTTTGTTTGCCTATTATCAAACGAATGCAAGTAAAAATATGGATTTTAGACAAGCGATCACATTTCTTCTACGTGGTGAAGAACTACAACATCCTATGCGTACAAATTATTTCTATCCACTGATGTTAGATTCTTATTATCGGAATAAAGATAAATGGACAGATGCTGAACGTTTAGAATTATTTAGTTTAATTGATCGACAACAAATACCTATTGAAGGCACCACCTACTCATATCATATAAAAGAACATTTTCATTCATTTTATAATAATGATTTTAAACATTTATTAACAACATTAAATAATAATAATTTGGAATATATTTTGAATAAACTATGTCGATTTTTAATTAATGATATTCAACAAAGTATGAAACAATTACATGTTCTTGAACAAGTAGCACCGTTTTTTAAACTTAATATTCAAGCGAGAAGAGAAGAATTTGCCAGAGTGATCTACCAGTTATTACAAACAAAGTATGTAAAAGAACAGTGTTATCCTTTCTGATGTTATCAGCTTGCTCAGCCGGGACGTGTCGTGCAAGAGAATGGACTCTTATAAAAAAGGCTTCTCATGTTAAAAAAGAACTAAGATTAAAGGACGTGGGCGAATAAGGTGTGTTTTCGGCCCCCCATATTTGGAAGAAAAAACTATATGGTTGGGAGAAAACCTGTGGAATCAGCATCGAATTAATTAAAGCTAGTGTAACTTTTAACAGAAAGTCGTAAAAACCTCGTCGACCTCTCATTTTGTTCAGAATTTTAGGCTCGATCTTTTGTTCTTAAAAGAGGGCTAAAGTTTTATTTAGTTTTCAAGAAAACCAGGTATCAGTTTTTGACCTGACGCACACCTTTTTTAATTTCTTTTTGTACTTATTCGATAGAGTATCAAAAATTGTGCTACTGTAAAAATTTCTCATCGTTTCAAGGTTCCTCGCAGAGTAGCAGACTGAACACTTGAATATAGTAGGCGATTTATAGCAATTTTTCAGACCATTTTGACATTATGCACTTCCATGACATGCTATAGGGTTTCCCATCACATGTTTGAAACAAGCAACTACTTTTACATATATTTAGCAAGTTCTTAAAATTTCAGATGTCTCTGTCTGAAGACTGTAGGCCAAAACTCCAATGATGGTACTAGATATCATTAAAAAGAAAATTCGTTTTCTCTGATTCAAAATGCATCTTTCATAAAAATCTGAGAAGTGTTTAGATGTTCCGAAGGGGAAGGCGAGAAATTTTTCGAAAAGAATGAAAATCGGTTTTTCGATGAAACAAATACGTCATTTTACTCAGAATTCGATGCTGATTCTAATCATATAGTTTCTTCCGAATATTGGAGACCGAAAACATGCCTTATCCGGCCACATCCTTTGTTAATCTATTCACTTGCTGCTTCTGTTCGTTTAGACCAAAATTGTTACCATTCGAATCTACTTCCGTTGAATCATCGCCACCGTCTTCAGCAATCACAACATCTGATACGACTTTATCTCCCATATTTTCTTCTATCAATACCATCTGTGAACAATTATCTGATAATTTAACACTGAAACGTGATTTATATGCACTGTTATTGCAATTAGCCACCCAAGATAGCCGTGATGATTTGTGTTCGTTAATTGCGAATGAATGTATTAAAAACAATGTTAAATTCGGTGGTAATGTAAACGAAATTGATTCAATGACGCGGTACACTCTTCCAAGAGATATTCTCGAACAATTGACTCGTTATAAACAAGGTGAAAAAACATGGAAACAAAAATTAAATTCATTGAATTTAGAAACAGTTACACAAGAAGAACTGGAACAAATTTATGCAGAAGCTAAACAAGATGGTAGACATCCACTATTAATTCAAGAACAATTGATCGATATTTATACCGCGCGTTCACATATACATGAAGCATTCGCAATTCTAAATGAAGTTGTGTCAACAAAATATGTACCAAGTGAAAAAGTTTTAAAACAATTATTTCATTTAATTACAAACAAGATGGTGTCTCAATCAGTACAAGTTAAACCAAAAATTTATCTAGACTATCTAAAGTAAATACTTGATTAAAAAACAAATGGAAAAACGCAAAAATTTGATCATAAGTTATCTCAAGCTGACGCTTTTTTCTTCTGACGCCAGTTTCATATGTGCAAGGGTGATTTTTACTATAAATATTTGTATTTTTACCATTTGAGCTAATATTTCTTTGTTCTTGTGTCTCATTAATACAATCTATCGTTGTTTAAGGCTTTTGTGCGATTTATATGAACGACATTTTGGCATAGATCATCTGACCCCAAATTTAACATTTCGTATTGCTCATACATTTATGTTAGCAAATGATGAAGAAAATGCGTTGAAAATCATAAAGAATAAATTATCGATGAGTGGGATGGATAATGAACTATTTGAACACGTGATAAAATTTCTTAAAGTAGACAAATCATGGTTATCGACGGATGCACTAAAGTCAATTGGGCAACATTTTCTACAGTATCGAGTTAGCGACGAGCTAACAATATTTTGGAATTTATACTATGATATCATGCTGGAAAAGTCCACTACAAAAGACTTGGTCAAACTTTATTCGGAATCAGTACAACATAACAGTAATTTACCCTACACATATTTATTTGAAGTAAGTCAAACGATTTGTTTCTGTGAAAGCTCGTATCAAAACTGCGTTATATTGATAAGAAAAATTCTTACAAGAGTTCAGTTTAAGTAGCTAAATAATATGGAAATATATAAAAAAATGTGCCTTTATTTGGTGCACTCTGCCCGGTACCCCATGTCGTCGAGAATGATATGGGGTTTCTAGAAACCAGAACTCCCGACAACCAAAAGCTTCTTGCATACAACTCGTTCGTATAAAACAAACTTTTCTGGACAAAATGAGACATCGTCGATCTCTCCACGACAGAGCTGGGCTCCGGCTTCGAACCGTCTCCGTTTATAAACGGAGCAGGAGCTGGATGGGAAGCATTGAGTTCAGAGCCGGAGCCGGTATGTGAATGATGATGTGCGCGTTCGATCGAGGTAAAAATGACTCTCTTACGGCAGATAGTTATATGAGTGTGTGCGCTGATGACACGTTAATATATGCTGTCTCAGTCTTAACCTTTGATTAAATATAACATTTTCGAAAGAAGATTTTTTATGTATATATCATGCAGTTATAGAGTATATTTGTGCTTCAAGACGATTTACATTTTCATATTTTTCCTTACTCGAAAGCCTAGAAAATTCAGTTGAAAGAAAAACAAGGAAAGATGAACATCTTTTGGAGCCGGGGTCGGAGCCGGATGTAAAAACTCTAGGAGAGGAGCCGGAGCCGGGAGAGGTCGAAGCTACCCAGCTCTGTTCCACAGCATCCTTATGTTAAACCGTATTCATTGTATGTAAGGTCCCAGCGCATAGAAACCAGCAAAATCGACAGGAAAACAATGAAAAATGTCTGTAGGACTCTCACTCAGAAACTTCGTTATCTAGAGTTCGGACTTCTAGAGATCCCGTGTCAGTCAGCTTTAATGAAACTTTCGTACACATCACTCCTGATTGTAAACTTTTTTAGCTATTGAAATCACTTTTGAGAGTTTTGATTATTACGATGGAGCAAGAATACGTTAATAGCAAATTGTCTTTATGATTTTCCACAGAACTGTATAAATGAGGCAATCTCTCTCCTTTGAAAAGATTTTTTATGAAGCAAATCTCTCGTTTAAAAAGATTTTCTTTGCAATATGTACTTGAGAAAGAATTATCCGAGGCAATGCAAAGGATGTCATCGTTTAACCAATACTCTTCTGAAAAGATTCATTGTGTTACTTTAACCAGACCCTCGATTAAAAATTCGATCCAATGGACTATATAGCCTCCCGTTATAACTAAAAATTTTCTGCTGGACACTCTCGTCAATATTAGTTGTATTTAAAGAAAGTCTTAACTCTTCAACCACTACTGGAAAAAATTTCCATTTCTAGTTATAGTGTTACCGACCGTATAAATATATAAACACATAGCATAAGAAAAGGAACATAGGGAACAGGTTACGTTTAATCCTTATCTAATTCTGAAATTTTCATTCAATGGATTTCTTTCCTTAAAAACCGAAAAACTTCATGAAAGAAAAGCACATTTTTTTCATCTACTTAAATACTAAAATGAGAGATCGGCCTTGTCCTTGTTATCATTACCTTTATTTTTTTGTTATTTCTTTAGTTATTCATTAACAAAAATGATATGGAAATATTACAAGAAATTGTTGATTTAGCTACTGTGCAACATGGTTCACAAAATGTTTTACATGATCTGGGTTTAGTATTAATTAAGTGTGAAAAACTGAAGCAAGCAGATAAAATATTTCAAACACCATGGCTAAAAGCAAAAAATGGACGAATTGAAGTACATGTTAGAAAATTCATGGGTTAGTTGTTTTCTCTGTAGATCGGTTCTGTTCTTTATCGCTTTCTTCAGTAATTTAGATTATTATTATTTCAGATCAAAACAATCTCAGTGCATTAATAAACACGATTGAATTAACAAAAAATTTGAGTGATATTCAACAGAGTCATACCTATACGACAGCTTTGAGGTATCTATGAGTTTATTGGCGCTTTTCTTTCATTAAATCTTACGTTTATTTTTTGATTTAGAGTGGCATTCAGACAAAATCAATATGAGATAGCTGATAATCTCATTCAACAAATAGAAGAAAACAATATACCCATTTATCCGAAAGTAAAAAAGTAAGTAGTAAAAGTTTACTGTTGTTGACTCTGTAAAAGTGCTTTACTTTAGATATGTTGATGCATATCGAAAAGCCAACGGTTTGTCACCATTGACTATTGGAGAGCAACAACAATTACCCAGTGATGTGGAAGAAAATGATGACATGTCTATATCGGAATCAGGTTTGATGGAGATAAAATAGTTGAAACGAAGTGTTTTTTTTTCTCGTTTTCTAGAACATGAAAAGCCGTTAGAAATGAATGCACGTATGGTTGGCTGAGAATATTTCTCGTATATAAGTTCTTTTTATTCACAAGATTCTTAGGTCTATTTTGTAAACTTAATCTTTCATATTTCATTACTCTTTTTTTAGTGTTTGTTTGTTGTCGTAGTTGATTGTTATTTTGATTTGTTATAGAAACATTTTCCTCCTCTCAATGCTTTTTGTTAAAAAATAAAGACAAAAACAGAAAAAAATTAAACTGTTTGCATATAAATACATAAAATTTTTCAATAACTTTTGAAGCCGAATAAAAAACTGATGTGCATCACAAGAAGAATAAACTTATCGCAAGGAGAAATTTATTAAGTAAATGGTGAATAAGCACCTTTAGACACTGCAAAGAACCTTTCGGCTTTGTTCGACATTTTGTCATATTTGCTTTCAAATAAAATATTCTTTGATTTTTTCAATACATTATCCATTTAGTATTACTTTGGAAAACTGCAATCTGTGGGAATCTATGAGCCCTTTGGAGTAAGAATTTCTGAGCGTATCGGTTTGTATATCGATTCACATATGTCCATACGTTATTAACAAATTTTCGTAGTGTTACGAGGCTATCAATATACATAGATGTCATTGTAACTCCCTAAAACCCTATTTTTTCCACTAAACTCTCTCTTCAAGTGTTTTGGAGACATTTAGGGTACAGCGAGTTGATTAACATTTAATTTGCATTTCAGCATCAAGTATAGTCGATTTTATGTATTCGGCTTGTCTAGCTAACGGTCTCCTTTTTTCTCTCGTTTTCAAAGAACGATGGCAATAAAGTTAGAAAATAATCTAAAATTACAACTAGATAATTGAGTAGATTAAACATTTCTCTATAAAATGAAAAGTATCTCGGCTCTGAACGTTGATTCGTTATGAAAATACAGCTGTTGTACAAACAGCCCCCAAAAATCGATGTTGAGGCTATCTAAAAAGCGTGTCTAAAAGAGTGAAGACGAGCTTGCAAAAATTGAACAAATATACCAGTTTGTAGAAAATTGTTTGCTCTACAAGATGTGATAGCTTTTTAAGTTCGAAACTATTCTAATTAATCTGTATTAATC